AACATGGGCCGGCAGTGTGGGGATGCAGTCAGGAAGGCCAACCACACCTTGTCATGCATCCACAGATGCATCTCAAGCAGGACCAAGGAGGTGATACTCCCCATCTATGCGGCACTGGTCAGGCCGCAGCTGGAGTACTGCATCCAGCTCTGGGTGCCGCACTTCAAGAGGGATGTGGACAACATGGAGAGGGTTCAGAGGAGGGCCATTCGCATGATCGGGGGCAGCAGGGCAGGCCCTATGAGGAGAGGCTACGGGATCTGAACCTGTTCAGCCTCCACAAGAGAAGGCTGAGGGGGGATCTAGTGCCCTGTTACAAACTAGTCAGGGGGGATCAGCAGGCACTGGGGGAGTCCCTGTTCCCCCAAGCACTGCCAGGAGTGACCAGGAAAAACGGTCACAAGCTGGCAGAGGGTAGATTTAGGCTAGACATCAGGAGGTGCTACTTCACGGTCAGGGTGGCTAGGATCTGGAACCAACTTCCAAGAGAAGTGGTGCTGGCTCCTACCCTGGGGGTCTTTAAGAGGAGGCTAGATGTACACCTTGCTGGGGTCATTTGACCCCAGTACTCTTTCCTGCCATAGCAGGGGGTTGGATTTGATGGTCCCTTCCGACCCTGGAAACTATGAAACTAGGATGGGGGTCCCTGCAGGCTAATATACCCTACAGAGAAGCCTCTATTTGTGCAGAGTCTAGCACAGAGAAATCAATTGCATTTTGGATCCCCATTGGTTTGGATACAAATCAATAATGGAGGCAGGTGAAGTCATATTTGGAGTTGGTTAAACTTTTAGTTGTGAATTTTATTACAGAGATAGCCCCTTTTCATTTTGCCACCATTTAAAACAACCCAAACACATTGATGCAAATGTACTTGTAATTCATAAATACTCAGGAAAAGTTTTATGTAAAAATGTTTTGCTGGCACGTTGTTGCCAGCACTGACTGTAGCCACTTCCTGTTTGTAGCCTGTGACATTCTACCTTAGGCCACTGATAGACATTCACTTGAAGGCATGATGGGATCTGATTCACAACCTCAACAATCATGCCTCCTGCCATGTCACACTTGAATGGCAGGAGGTACAACTGTAGGAACAGGTATCAGATCCCAATTTTAGTATATAATCCCAGGCTCTGCCTGCACCAGCAAATTGGGTACCTAACAATCAGCTGATTGTTGGCTGGCTCCAAGTGGTCCCTGAAGCCAGCCAACAATCAGTT